GCGCGATCTGTCAGACAGTTCGTTTACGGCAGCTGTTGAAACCAGTTCACCTCAGTAGTGCGTTGCGAAAAAAACAATGGAAAAAAATATTGGACAAAGAGTTTGCATCAAATTTTGTGTTTCGAACGAAATTTCGTGTGCAGAATCGTTGCGAATGCTACAAAAGGCTTATGGGGAATCAGTTTTATCGAAAACTCAAGTTTATGAGTGGTACAAAGCCTTTCAGGACGGTCGTACGACCGTCGAAGACATTTCGCAACGCACTACTGAGGGGAACTGGTTTCAACAGCTGCCGTAAACGAACTGTCTGACAGATCGCGCTCATTTTTGGCATAGTAATTAAGGACAGTGCTGCCAAACTACATAAACTTAAAATATCGAAAAATATACAGCGCGCGAATTTTAAATGAGAATTTCCGAAAACTTTTCAGTCTTAATGTAGGATTAATATCAATGCTATTTGAATCTGTATCAATATTAATCGTCATCAGACTCCTAAGTTCATTTTCAAAAGGATTAATTTCATTTTGTTTCCTATCAGATGCCCGTGCGTCGCTAGTCGCACTACATAAAACAAACTTACTTTTCTCCATTACATCAGTGAACAAAGCGGATCCTGGAACATTTTGTTTAAACTGCGGGGTGGTAGAGGAAAATTTCAACTCTCTTATATTTTTTTTATGACTGTTTACTAAAATTTTTAAAACAACTTGAAATTTTTGCAGTGTCTCGCCCCAGTAGAAGCGGGACAGGTAAAGTATTATCTGGTACTACAAACAATAACACTTTTTCACATCTATTCTTAAAAATCATCATACAACTTATTTTACCATAAGTTTTAATTTTAAATTTTCCAAGGCCATAATATTGGGTTTCATCTGTCTCCTCTTGAATTGCTACTGGGACGGAAGATTTATGTATTAAGCTAATTGAGCTGCCGGTATCAAAAAGATATAAAACAGTTGTGGTTATGTTACGCCCACACTTTGTATCATCAAAAACAACACTTACGTAATTCATAGCCTCAAGTGCAGATGCGACATCATCGACAATATTAGTATCTTCTGCACAATCCATGGTCATAGCAACAGAGGTAGCACTTTTAAGTTTCGGTGTGTACTTTGGATTCGGGCATGACTTGCGATTATGGCCACTCTTCCAGCAGTTATAACAACCATTAATCGGTCGCTCCTCGTACAGACATGTTGGACGACGGTGACCAAATCTAGAACAATTAAAGCAGCGGTTTGCATTTTGCGTTGGATTGTCAGCAAAATAACCAGATGAAAGTTTCACTGTAGTCTTCGTTTCACGGTTGGCATCTTGTTTATTGGCTACACCACGCACAGCCTGCCGTTGTTCGAACATGGCAACAGCACCCTTTAGTTCATTTAAATTCTTAGCAGTGTTAAACAAAACGAAGTCTGGAATACGATTACTTAAACCTTCTAATATAAAAGCAACTAATTCCAACTCCATAACATCGCTGCGGTGAGCAATAGATTCCATTTCCATCGCATAACGGTGGACACTCTCTGTTGGCTTTTTAGTACGCATGCGAAGTGCCTGATAGACCTCCTGACGGCTAATTGTTCGTCCAAACTCACCAATAAGTTTTTGCTTTAACTCTTCATACGTCAAATAACCTCGTGTTAGTAACAATCTCGCAGCACCAGTTAACGAATTGCGCAACGCCAATAATTTAAATAAGTCATCTGCACCAACTTGTTCAAAAATTTGTTCCAAGTGACGGAAAAAGTCATGAACTGAGTATGTGCGGTCTTCTCCGCTAAATTTTATTATAGCATGCTCAATATCTTGGAAATGTATTTTATGCTGTTGTATTGGTTGCACACTAGTACCAATTCATTTCGGTGTTCCATTTCCTCAATTTCGCACCGCAACCGAAGAATTTCATGGCGACGGCGTAAATCAGCAAGCTCTTGGTCATGGTCGTCATGCACAGCATTTCTTTCAACTAACCTCTCACGGCTTGCGGAGTCTCCAAAGGCGGCAATTGTAGAGGTAGTGACAGCGGTAGTGACGACTGAGGAGGAGCTAACAGCGGTTTGTTTGCTGAGGCCTTCAACATTACTTAGACGACGAGCAATACAATCTTCCAGCGTACTTCGATTATCTGCAAATATTTGTCGCATCCGTGCAGTAGTTGCTCGTGGCTGAACCTCAATGCCAACAGCCGCTAAAACATCTTGCAACTCTGAGCGATTCATGCGATTCTCCATATCAAATTTAAAATAACACGAAAAAAAATAATTTTTATTTGATAAATCCCACTTCTGAAGTTTTTATGTCAGGAATCTTGCGATATTTTATTATAACATTACAAACCTTTATTCCAATTTTTTTTAAATTATCTCACACCTTTTTACCTAAAATCAAACCTAAAACTAAACTGACTTCTTATTTACTGTCAAAACCAAAAGGTTGCTAGATTGATTATATTACAAATGAAAATTTATTTCAAAAAATATGTAATAAAAATTATATATTTTATAATAAGAAATTAAGATATTAAATTATTAAATTATTTCAATAACCTCGTTAAATTTAAGCTGTAATTAAAGTTAAAAAATTAAGTGAAATCTAATAACAAAATTAATTTATCTTGTTGTAAAAAATATTTAATTTGCTTTTTATAACCTTACTAACGAATCTTAGTGTACAAGTTACTATTAAATAAAATTTTATGAAGTAGTCCAAAATTGATATATTTAATTTTTTCAAAGTACGATCCGAAGAACCGATCCTCTTTACTTATAACATTTCGAAACAAATACTCTTTCTCTATTAAATTCATGTACCTATTTAATATAACAAAGTTTTCAAGTACATTGTGGAATTAGCTTTATTCCCATGTTTTAAATTAATAATCCTTAAAATAATAAGTAATATAAGCAATAAATGTAAATCTAATAATAAATTCAAAATTAAAATATAAATACAAAATCATTTCTTCAATAAAATATTTCCTATTAAGACCAAAATTAATACAAATCAGTTTTACGTACTATTTTGCTGCGATATTTGTCATAATATTGTGCGCTTTTAACTCATCATTTCACACAAATGTGCAGTAGACATTTCGTCTCCGCACATTTGGGTGCATTTTTATTTTCGAGGGTGCACACAAAATGTGCTCCTTGTATTCTTTTCTGCACACGCTGTGTGCGAAGGTAAGCTGGCTGCCGCACACACAATGTGCTGTGCGAAATAACTTCGGCACAAACAACGTTTGCGTGTGCGAGTTTTATGCGTTTTGAAATGTGCGTTTTGTTTGTGCACACAAGATGTAGCATTTAAGAATTGCACAAAAATTTTCGCACACCACATTTGTGGTGTGAAATTTTATTTAGAATCGCACAACATTTGTGCGTGGTGTTTTGCATTTTTGTGCACAGCACAGTGTTTTTCTGAACCCTGCTATAATCGAAGCATCGGTTACCTTCATGGTACTCTAGTTGTTGCCAGTACCATTTTAGTGATCCCCCAGTCAACAGACAATGGAAGTCCGTAAAAAGTTGTTGATCTGTAACTGAGTGTTGTTCTTTCATTCTCTCGACTCTGAACACAAAGCTTTCTACTGTCATTTCTTTATTCGAACCGTCGAACTTCAAATGCCACCGTTCTAGATCCCTCTTTCTATTGGAAATGCTAAGTGCTGCTCCCGCTGAATCTCCTGGTTACCTAAGTGGTTTCGCGTGGTCTGATTAGATCTTTGCTCCATTTCTTGTAGACGGTTGTTTGAGTTATGACTTCCATTTTCATCTCTTGCATGCAGTTCGATAAAAACTCTTGTTGCTGCCTCATCATTACAGCTACTGAATTCATTATTTATTCATTTTCAGACTTGCGTCCTGTATCTGTACCTGTTGAGGTTTCTCGATATTGATCTTCCCCTTTACCTTTCATATTAGCTGGCTGATTCATTTCACTACTTTCCATTAACAACAAATGGTCTATTTTGCTGTCAAAACTCAGTGACCTTTGGATATTATTTTTTTCAAAATCTTTTTCAGCTTGGGTTATTTTCCTTATTTTTGGCCTTCTATTTATGCCTGAACTAACTAATTGAGCCTGCTCACTACTACGTGCTTGTGCAGTTTTGTCAGGTACCGCTTCTAAATCGATTACTTGTGCTGATTTCGTAGCTTTTCGTATTTTGGCCCTAGTTCCGGTACTACTTGCTAACATATCTACTAACTCTTCTGCTGATTTGAGCTCCATAGGAACTATTTGCCACTCTTACTTAAATTTCTTGTTATCGGTAGAACTTACTTGTCTATTACTTGTAGAATGGTACAAAAATAAAAAAAAAAATCCTGTTTGTTCCTCTAAGGTGAAATAAAAAAAATTTTTTTTCTATATAAAATTTTAATATTAATTTAATAATTATTCAATAAATGAAAAAAACATTCAATGAGTATCACATCTCAATTTAATACCGATCCCTAATAGAAAATGTATGCGTGATACCAATTAACTGTAAGCCTCACAAACCTACCGAGATTTCTATTGTTTGGTAGCATTAACTGTTTCATTCGTACTTGTTCAGACCCATACTTCATTCACTCATACCCGCTTTCTAATATTTACCCACACAATAGGTAGGTTACCTCAAACAGAACTCTACTTGAATCTCTGTTGTAGCAACAATTTACTCAATTTCCCTGCCTCACACTATACTTATTCAGATTTAGTTTGTAGCAGAAAAAAACTCTAGTTACTGAATAACACACACAATATTTCATACCTATTACCTCAAATCAAAAACTCTTCTCATACTCTATTATAGCTATAGATTTAAAAAAAACAACAATTTTGACCAAAGCCTCCTGCCTTAAACTTAATCCCATCGGTATTTTAAAGTCGTAGCAGAAATCAACGCCAATTACACTTTCTATCGCAAACACAACTGTTTTACTTTCAGTTTGTGTCGTAATCATTAGAGTAAAAAAAAAACTCACCTACTACCTAAAACTAAACTCCTCCGGAGTTTTAAGTCATAGCCGTAGGTTACAAAATTCTAAAACAAAAAATATTTATGCCTTCTACCTCACATAAACTTTTACTAAATTTTATCGTAGCTGCAAGCAAAAAAAAAAACAAACTCAAACAAATTACTAACTATTCTCTAACTTTGTCATCTTGTCTGTCTGCCAAGCTATATGTTTGCACACCTTGATATAGGTCATAGCTTCCTTCTCCATTGGAAATTACAAGTCCTAAGTACATTCACCTTAATATAAACATCTTTTTCATCTTGCATAAAGATTCCAATAAAGATGATATTTGTTTTTGCCTATCACTATTGCTAATTGTTCGCATAAATCTTAAAAATAATAAAAAAACTTTTGTTAAAAATAAAAGAAAAAAAAATCGCACAAAAAAATTATTTGCGCTCTGCCAAGAAAACAAGTACCTGCAATTGATGCAACAACAATTGCAAGGTATTCCATTCTCCGCTGGAATATCATTTTGGATGAATTATGCGTATTGGGAATTGATCACATTTTTATGTTTAGTTTCCGGGCTTCTTTACACATGACGTGAGTGTCAATTAAAAATTATTTAATAAAAATAAAATTTGTGCAAAAAAATAAAATTTTAAACGTGTTGATAAAAAAAAAACAAAAAAAACCAAAACTCTTAACAAAAAAAAATGTCGCGGAAAACATTAAAAAACTTTAAAAAATACCTCGGAGTGCCATGCACGCGGCGCGGTGGTAATCTTTATTAATTAAAGATTATAAAAAAATCTTGAAGGTCGGTGCACGTTTCTTTGTTTGTGAAAATAGAATCTATTTTAAGAATTTAAAAAAAAACTATGTTTAAGGTGAAATTTAAACAAAATTTTTGGTTGTCAAGTCCTCTTTGTCTGTACTGTCTGCATTGCCACTTGTTGAGGCAACCATCTTTGGTTTGCTGTTCATCTGTCTATTCTATCAACTATATATATATATAAATATCTTTTAAAAAAAATTTTAAAACTTTTTAAAACCTCTCTCTTTTATATATATATATATGTCTATTATAGAGGCGAGACGTCGAATGGTTCAGAGTGTTCACTGAACACCTTAACAAAGCTTCCTTTTTAGATCTTTTTTTTATTGGGTAAATAATCTCGCTATTTTGCTACTTAACATTTTTTATAATAGCTTTTCCAAACATATTAACATATACACAAAACGTACAATACAAACAAAATCACACATACATATGTTAGTTACACCCAACATTACTTATAATTAATAAAAAAGAAAACACATTCCTCTTAAAATATACTAAGGTTCAGAATAAAAACTGCACCGCGCTGCTTACAAAGCATGCAAATCAAATAACATTCATATTGGGACTATGTTTAATATTAAATAAACACAAAACATACAAATAAATATAAAAATAAAAGAGCAAACAAGCCCCGCAAAATATGTACGTAAAATAATCATAACTCTTAAATTAATGCGTGCAAGCGGTTCAAAAGTGAACCTCCAATGTTATGCAAAATAAATACATAAGAGAAAGGAAATAACTGAGCGAAAATCGCTTTACATTTGACTAGAGGTTCAGTCGACTAAACTGAACCCCAACTTCATACAAAGCGTGCAAATACAATCAAAGTCATGGTTGCCGTTATATATGAGCAAATGGTTTCTTACTCTTATGTAGAGTAAGCAATTTTATACTAGCAAATGGAAAAGTAAAGAAAAAAATTAAAGAAATTTGAAGTGAAAAATAATATTTAGAAATGAATTAATGTGTGATTAAAGATTTGATTCAAATATCTTTTTTTAATCTTCTGAAAAAAAAGTTTTAATTCATAAAATGAATAGACCAACTCCAGAAATGAAGAATTTGGTACCTGATGTAAAAATGTCGAAATGTGTGGTAAGTCGCCGTTTTCCTACAGCTATTTATCATAAAAATCAGTGGATCACTGGCTGCGAACATTTAAATAAATTGTTTTATTGGTTTAAGGACAAAACTCAGGAATAGGGGGAATACGTTATAGTTGGAATTCTGTTTTGATCAAATTGTGAACACCTTGCCAAAAAGCTGACGCCTTGCTACTGGTCTATTACATTATTATAGATTGTATAGATATATCTATAATATTATTATTTTGTTATTTATTACGTCTTTTATTTCGGTCCTGTCTTCGTATTAGTGTCTCGTTTGGCGCAATTTGTTGTGTCCGGTTTTCGGTGGGCGAAGTAAATAGGCT